CTATGCTCTTGGTATATATGGAGGTCTCTTAGCAGGAAATCTGATAGTGCCTTTTTTAAAAGTTTCGTTTATGTTACTGACATTGTTGAGATCTTCTGAGAAGATTCACGACAAGATGACAGTGGCTGTYCTWAAATCACCTGTAACWTTCTTTGACACCAATCCTGTTGGAAGAATTATCAACCGTTTCTCCAAGGACATCGGTGTAATGGACGATACTTTACCGATGAAATTCGTGATTTCATCATGTGCCATTGTTTTGTTCTTTTTGGTGTTAACATTCACATCTGTTTTGAAYTACTGGTATATCTTGRTGTCTATTCCCACAGTTTTTCTCTTCATTGTGATTTGTCGATATTTTCTCAGACCAGCTCGAGATATCTCYAGATTGGAAGCCCTGCTATACAGTCCTGTGTGCGACCATGTTTCAGAGACAATGGATGGACTGGAAGTAATTCATTGTTTAAACATGGAGGATCAGAACATAAAGAAATTTTACAGGTACAATAACTAAGTTCATTCAATAAGTATAAAACCATATTGTACCAATGGTACAGGATGCTGAACTTATTCCATTATTTAACTGCATTGTCTTGAGCAGTTATCTTTAAAGAAATGAACAATTGCACTTTTCAGACTACAAGATTTTCATACAAAAGCGTTATCGGTGTCGATCACTATGGCCCGTTGGATGGGTTTAAATGTTGACTTACTCTGTGCATTATTTCTYTTTCTGGTGACAATTGGAGCAGTAGGGTTTCGCATTGAWACAGGTAATGATGCTTCGTTTTTTGTGCGTGATGTCATGTTTTTCGTATCATTAWTGACTTTTTTAACGGACTTTMAAAATTTTCAGCATCAACTGGACTTCTCTTGATAGTTTCGTTTACGGCAATGGGACATGCGTCGTTTGGCATAGCGATGTTTASTGAAATTGAAACGTCGATGAYAGCAGTTGAACGAGTAATGAAATACACTCAACTMCCCTCTGAACCAGGCTACGCTAGAGATGGACAACCACCAAAGGACTGGCCWAATCAAGGAGCTCTTGTTGTGAAAGATCTGTCTCTGAAATATTTGAAAGGAGGAGCTTGTGTCTTAGATGACATCAACTTTGAAGTGAAATCTCACGAAAGGGTGGGKATTKCTGGTCGAACYGGAGCTGGAAAATCTTCTTTGGTAGCTGCATTGTTTCGCATGCCCGACCCTCAAGGATATGTRATMATTGATGGTGTAGAYCTTSGTACYTTGAACATCCAAGCTGCTCGACGATCCATCKCCGTCATTTCTCAGAACCCGATTCTTTTCAGTGGAAGYCTCAAACACAGTCTCGATCCRTTTCATCATTTYRCCGASGAKSAGATTTGGGCAGCACTRGATGTGGTRCAAATGAAAGAACGTGTCCGTAAATTGCAAGGTCTWCTAGAATACTCCATCGGTGATAGTGGATCAGGGTTTAGTGTTGGCGAGACGCAGTTGCTTTGTCTTGCTCGAGCAATCCTTCAAAGATGCAAAGTTCTTGTGTTGGATGAAGCAACAGCCAACGTGGATTACAAAACCGATCAGCTTGTCCAACRAGTCATCAGGGAGAAGTTCAGTCATTGYACAGTGTTGACCATTGCACATCGACTAAACACTATCATGGATTACGATAGGGTATTGGTCCTTGACCGTGGTCACGTGGTAGAGTACGATAAACCAGAAATACTTGCGAACAAGACCGATGGGGTTTTCGCACAGCTGTTTAAWAGTCAGAAGGGCAGCGATATATTGTAGCTACRCCAAACTATTATGTAGATTAGGGTTTAGTAGAGGAGCCATTGTCCTTCGTGTTACTTAGATTAAGGTTGATTCACACTAAATACTTATGTATTTGTGTTAAAATAAAGTAAATCATGTGTAGTGTAATGAGACAAGGGGATAGATTGGAGCTTSACCTGTTTCCACCTCCTTTGTRTAAATGTGTATTACGGGAMAAATCACAATAAATAAAAAACTTTTTACCCCTATAAGCTGAATAGGGAAGTAGACACCCCCYTAAAACAAGTAACRACGACATCTTTTTGAGTTGATATAGAAATAACTGTACAATTAATTTCAAATGTAAACGTTTTTMGTTTATTGATTACTGACTTGATTCTTATTTCAGTGTTAAAAAGAGAGTGAGTTTGATTGCAGAATGTAAATGTAAGGTGTCGACAGGAAGAGCACTTTGTTATACATCTAATYGCTGTAATAGAGACATTTAAAGAAATACATTTAGAGACAACAAGAAGCGTTCGGTCTAAGTGATCTTATTTTGTTATTGTAAAAAAGTCTAAAGTTCGTATGTTCTATGTCTCTTAGCCTGCGTAGCGGCCTCCCCACTCCCCGCTCGGCCGACCCTCCCCAATCCCCTTAGGGCCGCTACGCAGGCTAATGTCTCTAGATAACATTTTCGTTTTAAGTTGTATGTCATTCAGTGACTGTATGTGTATTCATCTGCATATTTGGATATACATGTGTCTAACGTTGTTCTCTCGCCCTCAACTGAAAAGTAGACAATCGTCAGCAGTTRCGGATCCAGGGGGGTTCATTGGGTACACGTACACCCCCCTACTCCCACTACTACACGTACACATTACATCGGTTTGTCCTTTAGTGATGGAGCCCGGGTATTGTTATATATGACGTCGTCCCTGGGAATAGATCGAGTAGGCCGCTTTAAATGTTTCGTCAAGATACATTTGTGCATATTGTTTTAYAGTCGTTGTTTGTATAGGGCAGGTTTCACTAGTATTCAAAAACAATTAAACGTTATCAGATGTTTGTTAGAACCTGAATCCATAAATGTTATTTGTTTAAACCTAAAACTGGATTAAGAATAAATCACGTAGATCGTGGCCATACCTAATATCTGGTGCGAGAATTATACTTTTGTGATGTTTGCATGTTTGTGAGGTAAGGCAACAAGTTCTCCCTGTTCAGAGAGTTCATTGGTAATGGTTTGTGTCTATTAAGCTTCGAATACAATGACCTTAAAGTGTGTGCGCACTATAAAATGTTTTCCATGAATTGAGCAGCCCACTCAATAGCAACGCCAACACTAGATATCTGCTTTTTTACTAGTTCCCATTCCCCACTCTTCGTTGCAAGGATCAAGGCGTCACTCAGGCCAGGGAAAGTSGCGCTTTTATACGAATTGAAGATACTTGGAGCGAAGATGCTGTGCCTGTGATAAAAATGAATACGTATCAATCAAAAGACAATCGTTCAGCGGTCGRTTAGTGATARTAACGATGAACACTGGTGAGAATATGTTGTCGAAGTACCGTCAACATGGTCGACTTGACGTCATCCAGGCAATTCACAATAATTCATATTGTTTCATAATTTGCATTATCCTACCARTACAAAGGTCTTTCAGGCAATCCCTCGTAGTTTAGAAACGTCTTTTCCACACCTTGAAGTCTATCGTTGATAGTTCGAAGCATTATCTCGGTTCTACGAGAATGYCAAAGATATGCAAAAAGTGAAGACTCTCATAGCAAAAAGTATCCAAATSATTGCAAAGTAATCATTTTATGCATCCCAAATATTTTAAATTGATGCATAAAAATGTACTGATTACTTACTTGTTAACGTTGTAATTATCAATCATGTTCTGAATGGTTGYAACACCTTTGGCAAATTTAGTTATTGCTTTAAATAAGAAATCTAGGCCCAAGAAGGAAAATACGAAGCATTTATAATAAATATTTGCAAATAAAATGAATAAAGACATGGGAAAAGTAAAGATGGAAGKAATGGGATGCAAAACAGTAATGACATCTATACTAAGATAAATATAATAAATGAAAGAAATATAGATTGCCATGACTTGGCGGCATCAGTTTGCGGGAAAAATARCTTGATTTTTCTTTTTCGTCTTACCTAACGAAATTGATTGCWGWTCTAGTTGTTTTCCATATTTTTGTTTTAAATTGATGGCTGAAGTATTGATTACTTTTACGTACTCTTCGAGACTGAATGGTATGATGGGACTTTCAGCCAGTAAATATACTGACGACAACCAGATCTTAGTTGTGGCTAGGTGAGTAGCAAAGAATGGATCAACAAATTGTGTGACGTAGTTGAAGGTATCTTGGAGGGTATGATATGCTGGATAGGTAGACACATTGTACATCTTTTTCTGTTGAATACAAACAAGTTGTGGTAGATATTGAACCCAAACAAGAGTATAGAAGGAACTTTGGATACTATAATAATTTACCTTGTCAAACATATATCTCAGGTCAATAGAGGGAACCCCAGTACGAAGAAAGAATGGCGCATAGTCACTTCCCGACCCTAGTGGGTGAATTCTATATACAAAGAAAACAGTTTTTTAGTATTTTAAATGCAAAATCTCTCAACAGTGAAACTRAACCTGGAAACTGAATGCCCAAGTTGAAAAGCGTAATCATGAGTACTGACTTATAGACATTTAAAATACAATACTATAGTGTCATAGTATTTKAAATAGATCAGGGCAGTACATACTTCGGTGTCTTTCCCGATGCCGATGGAGATCTTTCCAGCCACAAGTCATAAACAGACCGGTCCTTTTCTACTGGATCAGCAACCTTTGAGATGGGAATTACTGTTGAATGATACTATCTTTGATACGGTAGAATATTTAAAACTGTACCTTACTCGCTGCAGTGAAAATCACTTTATGTAATAGTGGACTGGACCAAGCAAATAAGGTGTAATTACCTGAAGACGAATCGRTAGAAATTGAAAASTACAMAATGGTAGCATGGGAATTATTGCAGTTGAAAGGGAAAATGTACGAGTGAGGAAAGAGGAAAGACAACAAATTGACCTCGTAGTGTAAGCCCGGACTTGAACTCAAATCGTTGAATTTAAATTGTTGTCGTAGTCGCAATGTAGCCGTATAGTACTCGTATTGTAGTCGTATCGTTGTCGTATTGAAGTTGCAATGTAGCCGTATGAGTAGTCGCATCGAGTCCTATCTCGTATCGTAGTCGTATCGTATTCGTATCGTTGTCGCAATGTAGCCGTTAGTAGTCGTATCGTGTTCGTATCGTTGTCGCAATGTAGCCGTTAGTAGTCGTATCGTTGTCGCAATGTAGCCGTTAGTAGTCGTATCGTATTCGTATCGTTGTCGCATCGAAGTCGCAATTTATCATAGACGTAACAACAGTACTTCGTCAATATTCGTGCTTTCCACTCACAATATCAATTCAATGTCAGTGGTGTAAGTGTATCGATCCTTACCACGTATCGGCGAGTCAACATTGACATATGCAACAGCTCTTTGATACAATGTATGCAGATTATCCTACAAGGTCAAAACATTAATCAAAATATCTTCTCAACTCTACTTAGAAGAACTTGAAAATTACTCTTTCACGAGTGATACCTCAACCCACTCTGTTGACCCCAGCAAACCATATTCTTCACCTCCCCAGCTTGCAAGAACGATACTTCGACGGGGTCGCCAGCCTGAAACGAAGAAAATCATATTATTTAGAATGTATTTTGTATCAGTTTTTTGTATGGAGGAAATGAACTATAAGCGTATGACAGTTCAACGTTCAATGTACCTGCTGAACGAAAAAAATCATATTATTTAGAATGTATTTTGTATCAGTTTTTTTGCATGGAGGAAATGAACTATAAGCGTATGACAGTTCAACGTTCAATGTACCTGCTGAACGATAAAAATCATATTATTTAGAATGTATTTTGTTTCAGGTTTTTGTAAGGAGAAACTATAAGCGCATGACAGTTCAACGTTCAATGTACCTGCTTTGACTTTCACACTCAAAACACGTGACAACTCCATCATACACGACGTACCACTAGACGGGTCTATACCACCGAACACCCAGGCATCACGATGATTACCAAGCAATACCAGCCTATCTACAAAACATATTTCAACAATGCTTAGAATCACTTGAGGTAAACAGAAGAAATTTTTTAGGATAGTTTTACCAAATAATATTGGTTATCTTACCTGCATTGACATAATCACATAAGATTGGTTGTGTAAAATGCATATATGAGGTGTGAGCACGACTAGTGGTAAGCCTAGTGTTGTTTGTATGTTAGTACTTGCTTACCTGGATCCTCTCTGCCTTTAACCACTGCAATGACATTATGAATATCCTTACGAACATGATCGTTATTTGTCTCAACTTTAACGCTCCTTGAAACATAATTGAGGCCAAATTAAAGGTTATCTAGAGTTCACAGTGTAGTCAGAGCACCTTACTTTTGTATATAACAAGTTCAGTAACGCAGATGATGATAGTGATTTAATTATAATTAAGAGTTACAGCTTCCAAAAGCAGTCAGTGATATTATAAGACGGACCACAATTATCAATGGGAGTTTTAAATATGATACTGATGAATAAAATAGCATGATAAGAACTTGGACATGCCCTTAATACATACCAGTTAGTGTATGGTACGTCAAACCCAGGTCCTAACCTATAGGTGACATTAATTCCACCTTGCCAGTCACTTGGTGCCGTTTCACCTTTCATTTTACTAAGAACAAGATATTATTAGAGGTATATTATAGTCATCTTAAGGAGTATCTTATTACGATCGTCCAACTTTCAAGACTTTTACCTTAAAAATTGCTTAGCATCTTCAGCTGATATAGGATGCGCGGGTATTTGCGGAAATTTTATTTCTCCGGATTTACTTCTGTAAACACCATCTGAAAATTACAAAGGTAATTACAAGGTAAATATGAACTAGTCACCACCTACTTACCGGTCTATACTACTGCATAGCTCTCCTCTTCACTTCTATTATACATACCTTTAGCTGGGTAGCGTGGGGTCAGTGGGTCACCAGTCCCTAGCAACACAGATCCTCGCTGGACTCCAGACCTCGGTAGCCACCAGCTTTTAGGGTAAACTTGGTCGTCAGGGACTGGGGCAAAGTCTTGTGGATCATTAAAGATAAGGATAGCCTTGGCGCCATACTTTGCTGCATTCGTCACCTGTTATTAATGGCATGACAGTAATGAACTCATATGCTTTTATCACGTATGCCTGAGCATTTAATAATCATTATACTTAACATTAACTATGTTCACCATTCCATCATGAAAGGTAGCCGAGCCTATGCTTCGAGACAGCGATGAGCTTACGATGATTCCTGTGAATGAATTGTCTTATATATTGTCTTGTATATCTAACGCTGCTTCACTTCCATGCAAAGGCTTGGCTACCTTTCAAGATGGCGCTGGGATTAACCATAAAACTGTATTAGGTTATCGACGTATGCAAACGCAATACAACTGCATGCAATACAGCAGTGAAAACAGCAGTGAAAACCAATAGAATAGTATATTATTTACTTTATCTCCTCTAAACACACGTCCATATCGTACAATCACGATCTTGTCTGTAACGTTGATGCGTTTAGCCTCCAAGTACGCAAAGTCATCTCGACTGCCGTAGTTAGCATAAACGATATCGCCCTGAAAATACAGTTAAACTATTTCTATTTTTCGTCTTGTGAATGGTTACAATGATACTTAACACACAACACTTCTCTAAAATTAATAGTATTGAAGAAACAATATTATATCTCCCCCCGTCCCCCAGATAATGTCAAAGCTACTTGAAAAAACATTAACATCTCCCACCACCCCGGTCTCCCATATAATGTCAACTTTATATAACTACTTGAAAAATCATTAACGCTAAATGTATTCTTAAACGGGTTATTAATTACTATCATTATAAAGATTCCCATTAACCAGTCTAAAATCCAAACGTCAAATCTCACATGTGTCAATGCAACTAATCCTTCTGTTATTTCTGCTCATCGTTTTGATGATTTGACTAATTGGGTACATGAGAAATTCACCGTTTGAGATGGGCCTTACTGTTGCATTCCCGGTTGGTGAGTATGCGCTGAAAGGAGGTACAGCATCTGGTGATATTTCACCGTCTTCAACTGTCTTGATCTTTTCAGGTGTTCTGAATTTAACATCCCCTTGATCATTGAGAATAAACGCTCCATTTGTCTTATTGCGAATTGGGAAAGACAGAAGAACATTGTATTTTACAATTTTCACCGAGTCAAATCCATAACTCTTCCATGTATTGCTAATGTTGTAAGCGAGTTCGAGGTTCCTTGGCGATGCAGCTATGTGTGGCTTCAACGTGAAGTATCTACAGAAAAATACACCGCTATTACCAAGACTATAGATTTAAACCAAGCATCAAAACTTGAGGCGCCAATAACATGAHCAGCTACAAACACAAGGATGGCAAGAACTTTTAAAGACTCGAAAGCGTTTATTCCTTGTAATGCATAGATTTGTGACTTTGCGAATGTAAAAACGTCTTTGCGGGTATCAGTATTTGACGGTCAGATAAATTTCAAACTTGAAAGGAACTGCAATAGCTTCATACCGTAGCTCTGTTCAAAATGCAAATATAAATCGGGGATCACTGACTTTCTTGTATAACGCCGGGAAAGTATCAAGAAGGAGCCCTATCCAACAAAACTCCGCCATTCGATTCAAAATCAGAAAATAATCTCTCATACAAAATACGACATACGTCACTGATACTCTCCTTGAATTTATAACTAAGAGAACTTCCTGGTTACTAGCAATGATAGCACCTATCAGTTGGTCAAATCACGTAATATATAGACTAAGTAAATGGCAAAAAAGAAAAACAATGCAAATCTTGTAAGAGTTCAACAATATAAGATTCCTTTTAAGACTTTAAAACTCATCTCAAAAATAAAATACACGACACATACTACGCAAAGACATACCTCAAATTGTTCTTAATGTTCTTCGCCGACACCTCCGCAAGCATCTCATCTAAAACAGCCTCATTCAGTGACGGAGGTTTGCGTGGTCGATACTGAATTTTAACTGCACTGGCGTCTTGGACTGCTCTTCGTACTAAATATCCTCCCACAAAAGCAACAATTATTACCAATACCACTAATATTATCTTAATGGCTAACTGAATACTACAACGAGAAAACATGGATGTGCTTGGCTTGCTTGTTTGCTTGTTTTGAGAAAATGTTGGATCGGCAAACGAATCGTCCGACTGCAATTCCATTTTGTCATCGAACTTGATGTTTACGCATCAAGAAGCTTCAGGAACCCCGTTCATAGAATTGTCATTAAAACTATGTAAATAGAAAACTACACACTGTTTATCCAAACATCTGGAATATCTCTCACAGTCGATGCAATTTCCATGTGATTTTGACCAGAAGCCTGATTATCCATTAATTCTCAAATATTTTCACCGAAATGTCCAGCTACTGACCCCAACAGCGAGAGAAATTTGCTAAATAGGCTTTCGATTGAAATGTCCTCGTCAAATGGTAGTTGAGTAGCAATTAGAGCGAGACAAAACCATGTTGACAGTATACAAGTAAGGAATTTGACTCGGTTGAATTTGAATGATGGGTCATTCATGTGATGAGAGGTTTTAGCGACCCCTTTACTGACAGAAACTCTAACAATTTCAAAAGAGTCTAAAGGCCACTGTTAATAGATTTGTTTGTTTGTCCCCCCCAGTTACAGCTAGACGTCACGCGACAGTGACCAAGACAATTTGTGGTTTTCTTTTGTTATAAAACGCATTTTTTTTATTTTATTCATTCCGAACTATATATAAACTCACCTTCATTGCCTCTTATTTTTGTGAATCGAATAAAATTCATAGAGAAACAACACTCAAAACGGATAAATGACCGATGCATTTTAATCCTTCAGAACAGTAATGGATACATCGTGATGGGGGGCTTTTAATGTGTGTATATCATAGGCCGATATAACTAATAATGACGACATGAAATCAAACAGGCAATCCATGTACCTTATTACTCAAATCTCAGATATTTCTAATTTGCTAAAGTAGGAATTTTTTCACGATTTTCGATTAGAGTCGAACTGAAAGTAACACTTCCAGCGGATTGGATTACTGACAACACACAAATCACAGCGGGACCAATGAAAGATCGAGAAGGCCTTGTTTTAAAATGAGAAAGTGAAATAGTTTAAACAGATGTGCACCACCTCAGGCAAGATTTTCAGTATTGAAAACACAAAAATACGTTATTAATTTGTAGCCAAAACATGGGAATTATAGCATATGAGACACCAATAGATTAGAGTTTGATATACCATGGATTTTTAACTGATAGGTACACGCCCTGTTACATAACAATTCTTACTCAGCATGTTGAAGATTTCTGTTACGTTTCTGTACTGACCTGGACGAAAATGCAGCAAACATTTAAAAAAATACTCGTCATGTTGATATAAAATTACTGTTATCGCTTATTATACGTCTTTTTTCATTTTATCAGTTTTGTTGAAGTACCTTTTCAAAAATGACGCCTTGTTTAATAAAAGCCTTATGACCGGTGAGACGTTTTGTGCAAATTTGCTTTGAAAAAGTATATCTTGATAATAATACAGAGTGATAAAAACATAACTATTTGTTGCTTAAAACTCATCTCGTAAATTGTGGTCGTGAAAAGTACAAACAGTTAAAAGGTTTTTCAAGGGTTTCGGCTTACTGAGATTTGAATTAAACTAAAGCAATTATATCTAAGTGGATTGCTAATTTGTTATCGTACCAAGTCAGTAAATGTGAAGGAAAAACAACAAAACTTCAAACATCGTCAGTAAAAGTATCATTTGCCGTTACTTCTATCGATTCCGAATATGAAGCGAAGATTTCACGAATGTGTACATGGCGATCGGCATGAGAAAAATATTGTAAATTTAAGTTAACATTTCAATAATAATGGATTAGATACGCTTTCTTTGTTTTTTTGAAGGAATTGCACTCTGACTACTAGATAAACTATCAGTTCCAGAATGTCTTTTTTGTGTTGAATTAATATAAGGAATTGGCTGCTGATGTGAAGAATAGTCAAAGCGATGAACAGGTTGATTTCTATACGCGTTACTGTTCGGGTTGCTTGGTGTTGATAAGAATTGTCTTGGTGGAAATGATGGGCGTGTCTCACACGGGGGAGGTGGTAGAGGAGGTAGATTCCATACATGACTATTCTGATTAGGATAATTGTGCTGGAGAAAATATGAACTTGGAGCAAGTGTGTCAGAAACCAAAGTAGCAGTACTCTCTGAGATAGAAGTAACAACACTAGGTGTGTTGGAAGTTGTTATATGTGTAGTAATGTGTCTGTCCTTTGCTGTTTCATGATTGGTACAAGAAGATCCTCCATCTTGATTGGTTGTTCCTTAAAAATATGTAAAACAAGCTTTGATACTCATTCCTTTAAAAACAGGAGTAGCTGTAAGCTGACATCCATTGCCTTCTGCTATCATCATGATCATCATCATCAACAACATCATGATCATCTTCATCATCATCATCATCATCATCATCATCATCATCACTGCTGCTGTCCTTCTTGATATAGTGCTGGGTGTCATTTTAAGTATTTCTTTGTTATCATTATTTAGTTTAGTTTATTTTGTTATTGAAAGCAAACACTAAAACCGTGAAATAGTATTTACTAGAAAAACAGTATGAAATTCTACTAAAATGTGCTGATTCCTTTGTATTGTCTATTTAGCATGATTTATTGGCATTTTTTTTTTTTCACTTTTAAAGTTTGCACTCTAGTACATGTATATGTTTATATTGTTTGAACTTTATGAACTATTGTACAATTGATATTTTAATATTGAAGACCTACACTACCTTGAGTCTTCTTTGAGATGATCTTTCTTCTTTCCTCTAGTTTATGTCTACATTCATCTACAGACTCGTATTCAGGAGCATAAAATACATGAAGAATCCCTCCAAAAAATGATTTGTTGTCCATCTTTCGTTTCGCAAATCTGAAAAATGCATAATAATTTATGAAACAGAAAATTATAGCTTTGGCCGAAGGTAGCTCTGGATTCCTGTGGTGAGTAAAAAGAGAGGCCCTGGGTCAATGCTCTGTCTTTAAAGATGTTTTTGCTAAAATATTACTGATTATTTATGAATATTTAAAAGTATAGGGAGGAATAGAAGGAGCAGGAGGAAGAAAATGAATGAGGGGAGGATTGAAACTGGATTTGATAAGAAATCTGAAAAGCCCAACTACTGCATATCAAGGCTGCTTGCAGAGACCCTGAATACCAAGATAAATACTGAGATATATACCTCACCTGGCATTGTTAATCTTCTCATATTTAATAAGATAAGCTTCTGTAAATTGTTCGGTAGGATAATCCTCGAGTTTGAAATACCTTAAAACAAGCAAAGAGTGAATAAAAAACACAAATAGAGAGCCTGATTTAAAATTAGCAAATATAGTACACAACATATGGACATCCAACTCAACCAACAACTCCTTATGTCCTAACATTAGCAATTATACTGGTTACTCCGACAGCAAGACAGGGAGTAACCACAAAAATGTATCAAATCATGGTAGGGATATTTAAACAGCTCTTCTATATGTGTTGTTTATAGAAGGGGAGTGTGTGTTTTATCGGGATGTATAGATTCGAACCGCAGGCAAGAATTAAAACTGAGACCTTTGCTAGTGTTGGGTTGCGATAAAGAGCTGATGAACTTGATCAGTTCTTTATATCTGATATAGAACTGATTAATAAAACATCAGTTTTATATATCTGATATAGAAATGATTAATAAAAATCAGTAGTTTATCTGATATAAAGGCCCATCATGTGACCCAACAGTTCGATGCCCATTGGACTAATAGCTCATAAATTATTAATGAGTTCTAGAAATCTTCTATATATTCTCTACTAATTGTGTATAGATTTCCCCCTTTAATAATAATCAACACTCATACAGTGTCAATCTTTCAAGACTTTTCTTCGATGCAGGGGTTTCATCAAAGTAAAAGTTTACCTACTCTTGAATATTTCCATATGATGAAAACTTGTCAACGAGTTCTTGACTTACTCCAACAGATGCCACACCACTAACGACGATGTACTTGGACTCTAAGTTAATGGTATAAACCTTATGAAAAAACAACACACACATAAGCTTTAAAAAAACATAAGCTTATATAAGAGCTCTCATACTTTATGTGTAATGTAGCCGCGCGGATGAACAACACATCTTGTATACAGCATAGACCAGTGCCACAAAAGCAACAATAACAAGTTGATCCGTAATTTAAACAATACCTTTACAGCTCTTTCCCATCTTGCTTCTCTATAGCTTGGCCGTGAATAGCAAACCTTAGATTTCTCATGATGTTTCTTTGCTACTTTATCCGCCATCTTGTTTACAGCTAGAAAAACCGCTGTTCAAGGACCGTCACTTCAAACCACAGGAAACCCAAAACCACTGGACCAGTTTATAGTACGCAAACGAAAACAGGAAGATGGGCTCTTCTTTTTGTATAACCCCCCATGACATAAACATGACAACAAAAAGCAAAACTAAATGGAGATTATCGCCTACTCGCGGTTAGTATGTTTATGGACAAACAATGACTGTCAAATCTAGGCACGTAAAAGCAAACTACTCAGGAGCCCATTACTACTAATGAGCTCCCAACCACTTTTTTGTCCACTTGAACCCCATTTCCAACACTTTTTCTGTTTTGTCAGTTCGTTGACACGGTATATTGACAAACAAAGGGGACATTGATATAAAAGAAAACCTTTTAGGTTATAAATCAGTACTGACAAGATACTAATAAAGTAACAGCTTTTAAATCTTCATATAGTCGACCTCTTATAATGTTGACAAATTTATAAGTTTTATATTACAAAAAAATTTAATAATGAAGCGTGACTAACTGTCAGTTATTAGTTATCAAACTATTGGTTATTAAAAAACGCTCATTTTGATTGGCTATTGAACTATGGTGTATTCGTCATAGACCATCCATAAAATATCGATAATTCTTGTTCTGTATGGTGTTCTTTCAGAGTTGCCTATTCAGTTTGACGGATACACGGCCTCATGGACTATTATTCGTAGTCCGCTCGACCGTCTAATTGTGTAATTGTTAAAATTTCGATTTCCTTGCTTCACGGCTTGGTCAACACGCTGCATTCATGAAGGGCTGGAGGTTACTCTTATTTCTTACAAGGTTTTTTTATTACGATGTAAGCGCTACTTCAACCTAAAAGTTATTTATTTTCGTCCAGCTTTCGGCTCACCGAGCCATTATCAAGACTAATGAAAAAAACCGTTACATTTTATGTAACGGTTTTTTTCATTAGTCTTGATAATGGCTCGGTGAGCCGAAAGCTGGACGAAAATAAATAACTTTTAGGTTGAAGTAGCGCTTACATCGTAATGAACAGACCAACCTACAACCATTTATTTGATAAGGTTTTTTTAGTTTCTCGGTGTCTTAAAAAATTCAAAAGTCTCAGTCACTTTTGAGAAACACTTGTGCCATTGCAGAGACATCTTTCACTGATAGTACAATCTACTGCAATATGTTAAGTGACATTTTCTCTGATGAGTACCATTCAAGGCGCAATGTTTAAAGAGAGTCGGAAGGTGTTTTGCATTCAGATTCGATCGTTAGACAGTCAAAAAGACATTTAGTTGCCTTGGTAACAATCAACTCCAGCTGATCTCCTTGACAATACTTCAGTCTGTCAGTTTCCCTTTTTCCATCGCTTGAGGCTGATTATCCTTTTGAGGAAAAACAATTATAACTTTTAGTCCAAGAAATGAACCGAAAACCCCTCAGAAAAAACCTTTGCTAAAATGCGGCGAATAAAGAAGGCACTGCAAACACAACCTGTCATGGCGTTGGCGGAGTCAACAAACTATAATTCATTTAATATGTTTTAATCTAGCTTTTAATCCTTAACTTGCGTTAACCAAGTGTTACTTCTATGTTATTTTATAATTTTTCTCAAGTATTGGCTAGATTATGATGTAAAATCCAATTAAATTGTTTTTTATTTTAGAATTAAGGCACTTGTTTACACTTGATAGTATCCCGGAAACCAACATCTGAAATAAATGAAAATTATTCAATTATTTTCGTTCTTAATTACTAGCCGTACGTCCCGCAAGCGTCTATGTGATGAACTTCATCTAGCATAGCCTATCTATAGTGGCAACTAGCTGATAAACGTTACTTGAATTTAAACTAAGTTTCACTGTAAAGCTAAACCATGAAAACTGTGAATAACACGATAAGATAACCGAGCTGATCGTTTGCTGTACTGATGACTGTTAATTAGAGTATTGGCAAGTCTTCAATCTTCTTAATCTAATATTACATTGACAAAGGTATAGAAAAGAAGTAATCTGACTTGAAAAAATCGTCAAGGTAAGCTATTGTGAAATCATGCTCTCATCTCTTAATTTCATATCAATGTACAATAAGTTTGATAGGAGAATTATTTTGCGATAGTCGTGACTCATTGCCAAAGAAGATTTAATAAGTCAGCACAACCAAATCAAACATCAAACAATAGGAAAGAGTGAATATGCTTTCTTTAACTTGAGTAATGAAAACTTTTGTTTATTTGCTGGTTATATCATTGTATGAATTTCGAAATATAGTATATTTTAATTTATCATACTCGTAACCAATAGATATGAGGAAATTCGCATTGTGATTGATTAATTTACTACTAGGATATCAAGTACAACAACTTGAATCGGAGAGAAAAATGGCGATAAATCATTAGATTTTTATTAAAAAGAAGAAATCGTCACATCTCTGGCTAAAAAAGTAAAACCCTGTCGTTTGCTGGGCTGTAAATTACTTAGACGTTCTGAATCATCTCTCATCAAATTTTAGGTGAAGCTTCTCCTGTAGTTACGGTGTCTGTCTGTCTGTATACATCCTGAGTGACTGTCGATGACAATATTGACATATATCGCTATTACTTGCACGTTCGATGTGCTAAATACAAGAGAAAACAATGAATTAAAGAACCGGTAAATACCTCATTGAGGTTTTTGGATTAATTTAGTCTCTATGGTTCTAAAAACATCAATTTCGAGACATTTAGTGTCGTGTAATATCAATCATGATTGAAGTTGAACAAATGAATTAATAAGAATAGAACAAAGATTGAACCAGCTCTAAATATCTAAGGATGCTTTCCATTTAAGCAGAACTGACCGGCCAGTCCGCTCTATTTAGAGCTATATTATGCTTTTTGTCAACATTTTTCAGTCATTTCGAGATTTTCTATTGAATAATGGGTAGAATTTGAAAATTTGAATTTCCTAACTAAATATGAATGATATATAATTACATTTTCTCTGGGTCTGGCCAGCCAGTTCTGACAAATGGAAAGCACCCTAAATTAACTTGTGACAACGTTAGCCATAACCCGCCAGGATGTAATTTGGGCTCCTTCTCGGCAAGCGACAAGTCAGGTCTACATGTCTTGTGCATGTAGTGTAAAGTAGCCGGTTTACGAACCTGTTTATATCGTGAAGGACATACTCACAAAAGACAACGTTGTCATGGTAATATAGAAGATCCCAAACTCGGGATTAGACCAACTATTTACAGCTGTTTAAAAAAATATTAGTATTACTAAGTTTCAAAGGAACGGATGTGTTTGATGGTGGTGCCCTTACAAGGGTGGGTCCGTCCTTTTATGAAATATGACACAGTAGAAATTATGACATAGATAAATCAAAGAAGATGGGACTCATTCTAAAAAATAACGCAAAATATATTTGAACAGAAATTTCATTTCCGCCGCCCTAAATCGACTATCCATTTTTGTGTCTTGAGTAAGCCTTTTTTCTAATGTCCTGGAGCCGGGCACTGCCGTAATTGCATTTCTTTTTTAATTGTAGATTTTTTGAATAGTTCTAAATGAATCAATAGTGGTGATCTAAATGTAAGGGATTCAGTTCGCGAGCACACAATCAGGTTGACTTCGTTTGTAACATGACAATCATGCATGTGCACGAAACATCTGTGACATGATAAATCAAGCAATTTGCAATAGCCATTAATAATATGAAGTTCTTGAACACTATGCATGACTGGAAATGAGACTTATAATTGGGATTTGATACCCCCTTTGAACCCCTTCAGTGTCCTCTATTATTGCCTGATAGTTCTACGAACAAATTCTATCATTTCTTTCGAGTATACGCCGTTCTATCATTCGACTATTAAACCGATATTACCGGTCAAATAAGAAACGAAATCAAATGGACATTAATGATTTTTTACTAAAATAAACTTCACGTGTAGAACACGACGGAAATTTTCAATTGTTTTAATGTTCTCATTTGTATCAAGAGTTTTCTATAAAATGCATAATTGGAAATATTWACATTTTGAATAAAATAAATTCATTATAGAATGTCATAACATTTTCATGACTTGTTCATTGATTGGTCACCGCTATCTTTTTCATCTCCGCTCATCAAGTAAATAATAACCYGTAAGTTTTTTGGCGAATTGACTGCCAAAATTATGTSGTTACGTCTCGTRCTGTAATGCTCTTTTATAGAAATACAGGTTTTGATAGACATTTGCCTGTGATTTGCTGATAGAGAAGGTAAGACTAAAGCATTGATCTTGGTCAGTAAAGTGTTTGCAAGCGGAAGTGTTTTTATTTTCTATTCTTTGCGTCGTTCTGAAAGTGTGCTGAGACCGTTCAGGAAACAAACCGAATTTACCTAACCAGCCACCAATTGTTTGTCAATCGTAGTTCAGCTAGCTAGTTTCCGTGAAGTGTTAATGTTTTAAAAACATTATTTAAACGTTTTCTGTTTTTCTGAAAAGTTTTATCGTACATTATAGACGGCTGATATGAAATAAAGTATACTTTGTAATTAGTGAACTATATCTTTAAAAACGTGCTTTTATCTTGTAAATATGTTTGATGTCCATCTATTGGTTCTTATTGCAATAAGCTGGTCTTTTTTGCACGTATTACGTCATAGCCGCCATCCTGGATGCAAATATCAAGTAGACTCTTTCAACCAGACAACGTGGCGTTGATAGCTTTTGTGCATTTATACTTCAAATTCTATTTTAGTTTTTTGCAATTATGGCCAAAACTTATTATTTGTAAGCTTATCCAAACTTTAATAATCAACTTCGGCTATGGAAATATACTGATGACACTATTAATGGACTAATTGCAAGAACCTGGTCATTAGATATTGGTAGAAAATGTAAGTCAGAACAAATTTGAAATAATTTTATAGGAAGAACTGTTTAAAAGGATATTGTAATTTTTGATTGATTGAAATGTGCAAAAATCTGTGGTTCAAGCTCGTGAGGAGAATGGAACACGGAAAAAAWWTTGTACTTTACAGTCAATACATTGACGTTGTTCATCAGTTGTAAAGGCATACAGACTAACAACAAATTTGCATATATCAGATTTCTTTTTATWCCTTGCAAGCCAGAATATTCAACATAAAGTTCCAMAACTCATTTATAATGTTGTCAACAACATTTAATTCGCTATTTACCTAAAGTTTAGAATTAAAATTCTCCTGAGATTATAAATAAACCTTTAGTTGTTATTTTACAAGTGATTGACTGTATGACAAACATAGGTGTTACAACAATGGATAGATATCTATATCAATTTGGTATAAAGTCATTTGCGAAAATTCTGACCGCTAACATATATTGAAATATTTATATATTGGCAGTCGGATATTTTTMGATGAAATAAGGACTTTACGCAAATGAACTAAATCTTATCTTATAGTCTTATCTTGTCTTATCGTCTAATGATTTTGAAGCAAGCTACTTAGTTATTTAGCTTCCGCTGTTCGTTCATTTACTAGTCGGGAGTCCATCAMAAATAGAATATATAAAAATAAAGGTCCCTGAATTTAAGGCCGTATAATCAAATTAAAACAAGAGGCTAATTTTCAAGTTACGCACGCCTTGGATCATGCACATGCGTAAACTGCGCTCCTACAATGCAATGCGGCTATCAAAATACAATTTGCAAGAACTATTTTAGGGTAATCCATATATATATATGTGATACATTGCTGACTGTTTTAGCTGCAGCGTGGATATGTAGACCAGGCGTTTGAACGCAGTAACACCAGTGATTCTGAAAGTTTTTTCTTGTGAATTTCAAAAGTTTTCTTCAGCCACTGAGGATCTTGACATAATATTGTATGATATTTATATATTTTGTATGTCATATAGTTTTGTGTGGGTGTTCGAGAAGACAAGGAAAACAATTATAGCTATCGTCACAGGAGATTTCAAATTCATTATAAGTCTGCTGCTCCTAATGATTTATTAATTGTTATGGCAAGGAAAACATGACTATCAAACAAGCATTCGGTAATAACAGCCTAAGTCAAACAAACAAGTCGCGTTCGGCATACCTGCCTTTTGCGTGTCTTCAACGATACATCTAAAGGTAGCACTAATTAATTGGCAGCAAAGATTTATAGAATAGAGGGATGGGATCAGCCACTTCCTCATACGATTAGATTAGATACAGATCAGTTCTATATCACTAGAACCGTGAAACGCTGAGGCTTGAAGTGCACTGCACAGAAAAAACTGAATGTCAGGTCTAATGCAACTTAGACTGAACTAATGCCATCACACGGAAAAGGTCATGGTCTCTATTACAATAATCCTGGTATTTAACCATTTCAATGTCATTTGAAAACATCAAAAATTTCTTCAATATGGCTAGACATTKTACCCGCCCCGGGACATTTTATCAGTTGCTATATTCTGGTTAAAACCAACAGAATCAAAAGTTACTTGAACCCAGGTGTTTGATAGGATCCAAACGAGTTTTAATGTATATTTTAATCTGGGGATAAGTTGAGAGGCAGAACATTGATCCACTATGCAGATCTATTTTAGCTTTGTGAAGAATTTTACCTCTGTATAAAAACACATTTTTATATTATTTGTGAAATGATAATATACATGAAATATCCCCAATAGTTTGACAGATTAGACTTCACGGAAATATTCCTTGACACTATGTCATTCCTCTAAAAAGGCTTTTTAAGAAAATTTACATTGTGTTTTTTATATCAAACCACCTGTACATCCATGCAAACACTGCTAGCGTCCGCCCAACATGATAACACTTTAATGACTAAAGTTAGCAGCCAATAGGCTGATATGCAAACATTTTAGGTGGCTCTCAAATAAACATTATTTTCAGTGACGAGATCATGGGATGCAGTGCAAGTATAGTGGTGAATGGGCATGTTATTAGTCCACCGTGTGGTAGCAATGCACCGTTTGTACCAATCCCGATAAGTGATTCCAAGAAAAATATTATTGTACAAACATGGAAGCTCGTCGAACCGGTGAAAGTTGCAGCCGGAAAAAAGCTATTCTCCAGGTAACGGTACAAAAGACTGACGTTTCGTGCGTTGGTTATTATGGCACAATGAACTTAATTTGATCATAAAACAATTTCATACCAAACTAAGCGAATCTTTTTTAACAGATCTTTTGGTTGTATTTTTCTATTTATAAGTAGTTTGTCGAATCAAATATGAATAATTTTAACACTTTATTCCAAGCTTTCGACCTGAGCGGTCATCTTCAGGGAACACAAAGACGTTACACTGGAACAAAAAACAAAGTGTTTTGAGCGCGCAATAAGCGAATCTTTGTTGAATTTCGATCACTTACATAAGATAAAACAGAGTCGATCAAGAAAAAAAAAGTAACGGAAGCAAGTAAAAATTTTCAGGTCGTTACATGTAACACTGAGATCAAACTTTGCACTGAATTAAGCTGCTCTTTGAAGACAAACAGTGCACGGATTTAAATTAAACGTTATTGCGTGTAATGAAACCCGAGGAAGCTAATGGCTCACCAGACAATGCAAGAACATACTTAAATTTCACTCTCACCTGACGCGAGTGATCCGGTACATTACGCACTTGAATATGACATTTTTTTAGACAGTTTGCTAGCGCAAATGATCGTCAATAAGATTCTAATTGTGACTCCGATGGGACATACTTGGAACTTATCATTTCAGTATCATTTTGTTGCCACGCTTTTTCTAGAAATAACTTTTTCAAGAGTCGTTTCTGTCAGTCTTATCCCGTGAAATGGAAGAACAACTGTTTGTCAATATTCCAGAGAGCATCACTAATACTCGGTCATTATTCCAGTTATTCACTCATGCTTGATGGCATGAAATCCTCTCTTCAGATTTCGACTTGAAAGCATGAAATAAAGATGTTCTTAACTGTGATTATCATTCCAAATAACCGTGTGTTGAATACTTTGTCGCAGGTTGTTTGAATTGAATCCAAGCCTACAAGACACTTTCCCTGCATTTAAAGGAAAAGAACTCAAAGATGTATTGAACTCCAGATCTCTTTACTTACATGCAAAACGTGTCATGGGTGCAGTTGAGAATGCTGTTTCATCACTGAATGATTCGGAAGCTTTCACCAGTTATTTATCAAATCTTGGCGCTCGACACATTCCATGGAATATGCAAAAAGAACACTTTAATGTAAGCATAGGGACAACTTCATGAAACATACTTAATGCCATTTTGGTTACGACATTGTTACAACCTCGTTTTATGGTCGTTTTCATTGACCCAAAAAGAGAGAAAGACCTGGAAACGAGGTTGAATCAAGTATTTTTTCTTAACAGATTGTCGGTGAATGTTTGCTGTGGACTTTCCAAGACATGTTAGGAACAGCATGTACTACCGAAGTAGCTGAGGCCTGGGCAGAGTTGTATGGATATATTGTTCAGTCAATGCTGGATGGCATGAAATCAGGTCAGAAGCATTGATGTTCAGCGGTATCGTCAGCTGCACGCAGGCCAWTARATTAAAGCATTATTATGTCATCATGGTGACATCATGTTATTAGAATTTACTGGTTGATTGGTCGCTGAGTTCAAATAATGCGTGCAGYGTATACTTGGATAAGTCGAGTGGTTACCAAGACCATCCTTGTACCTGGACTATCCCGGTSGGCGTCGATTTGTCCAGCCGTGCTTAGGGAAGGTTAAAAGGTCACAGTGAACAGTCTCTCAAAAAACAGTATTCAGTGCTTTGAGTCAGAGAAAACGACGAAATCTGTCGTCTTCAGCAGCGCTTGCCKAGAGGAACGCAGTCTATTGCAGGTACGTGGTTGATGCAAGAGGAACTCAATCTTTCTGGAGTGAGCTGGAACTTCCTGCTTAAAAGCAATGATTAACTCCACTATATCTAGTTCTGTAAGTAGCATCTCGAGGCAGGCTCCCTGTGGATCGTGCTTTTTTTGCTACAGGAAACCCAACGTAAGAGAGAGTAAAAGGTTTCCTTTGGAAAAAGTTAGAACTAAATACATTCATAAACAGGTATATTTACATCATTTATTTACATCAACAATCTTACAAAAGCTCAAAGAGCAAACATTCTATGAATAAAATACACTGACAGTCATGCAAATCTTATTTGAAAATTTTCGTCAAACACCACTGTTACAAAGGAACTGAAATAAAGAACTTTCAGGTAGTGCACTTAGTGGAATTAGTTTCCCACTGATTCACCACAGAAAGTAATGACGTCGGTATAACGTTAAAGACCGTTTTGATCATTACCCGCTGAAATATATTTACAATACAAGAGAATTACTGTTTGATAATGACCCCTCAGTAGAGGATTTGCAAATCAGTGGGGTTTTTTGAAAACGCCGGTCAATGACCGGAATTACAGTTAAGTATACTTTGATGCGGAAAGAACAATTCCGCTGTATTTAGACCAAATGTTAGTGCGCACGATTTTTTGCTTATAGAAAAAGAAACAAATAGAGCAATACATGTTGAACAATAATCACATGTGCGCATCATTTCATTTGATTTCATTATTATGTTGTTATAATACACCAAAACAATCCTATTAAACCATTTCCCAGCTGTAAAAGATATATTTACAACGATAAAGTTATCTACCAAGAAAACAATTTGTTACTTTACATGAAATTGACTTTTTGTGTCGGCAACAACAAWGCTATCGCCGCCATGTTGGAAGAATWTACCAGAGATCGTCATCAAACATGGCGGCTTTATCGTCAAAYATCGAGATGCGAAGAAAAATCTATTAATGGATTTCAACTGGAAATTAAAACGTTTTGTTGACTTTATTTCTAATCATATAAAAAAGTGTCTTTCTTAACTTAACATCCATTTTAAAATGACATGCATTTCACCTAGTTCTTGGGCATTCTTGCTGTAAAATCTTTCTGRCATAAGATTCTTACATATGACAAGTGGGTTAAGTATCAACTCTCAAGTAAGTCGATTTTGCTGTCAATCAGTTTTTGCTGCCCGTGTAGACCCCGTAGCATTGTCTGAGAGACCAAATAAAATAGTTTGTTCCATGCCAAAGATGTCTCTTGGTTCCATGTGGACTCCAGTCTGTGCTGTAACGTATCAACGAAGGCAAGACGCATATGCTGTAAAAAGTGATAAAGGGCTGTTTGATAGTATATCATGATTATTCAATGGCGTGGTCTTTTTTAAGAAAATAAAATCATTAAAATGATGAACTAATCTTAAGTGAAAACCTTTGTCCGACAGGGTGTTAGTCTGGGTTATAGGGTATATGTAAAACCAAAATATAATTCCTGGACTGGAATCTGTCGGCACACACCCATGCAAGGCGGAGGTGCTGGCATTGAGAAACCTCAGGTTCAATTCCACCCAACTCCATAGATAAGCAAACTATATACAAAGGCAGTCTTGAATACCCACGATTAATCTTCCCGTATACAAGCTAAATTGAATAAAAAGATTTACCTCCAAGTGTATTTCTTTCAACTGTCTTTCTCGATGACGACATCCAAGGTCTAGTAGATAAACTTCGTAAGTCTCAAAGTTGTCGATCGATACGACAGCTGTGTCGATAGCTTTCATTATCCGCCGTGAATGACCAAGTAATGGTTTGGACTCGGAAAGTTCATTTGTGTTTATTGTACGAAACTCAGGAAACAGTTGCTGGTAGTCGGGATGATCTTTGAAAAATCTGCGAAACATTGACGGAGTAATGYTATAAAATCTGATTTACAATAAGCTGTTGGAAATAAAATAACAACGAAGAATATAGAAGATTTGTAGTGTTGTGCTCACACACAAAACTCAATTACATTATTGACCGCGATGAGTAGTACATCTTTTGCCTGTTTGACTGCACTGAGTATGAACCTAAGTGCACTGGATTTTATTTCATATTTCATGTAATTTGAAGAAAATGCACTAAAAAGAACAATTAATATAGTTCTTACTTTTATCAGAAACTCATGAGTTTCTGCTTTTATAAAATGATACAATGATAAAAATGATGATTATAGCACTTTCTTTCACTTGTCATTACTTCCTGATCTCGGTGAATAGTCAAATGTCACAATCAAGTACTTTATAGGAACAATACCAGACCGTTCAACTAAACTTTCGTRTGATGAATTATTAAGTTCAATTAAATTTTCAACTTGGCAAAAGTAATAATAAGATGARCAGTTCGAGCTGCTAGTTTAATGTAAACGTTGCTAGGACAACACTAAGCAACACTAGAAGCAGAGAAGCTTAAATTTGSTGAAACTGGGTCGGTCARAGGACAGCACAGTAAGAACACTGTAAAATAAGATTTTGTTTGTCTTATTTATTATCATTTGCTTTGTTTGGACTAAGCTTTGGGTAAAACACCTGGCGCTAGCGACGTAATTACAACCAACAGAATGCACCTAAACCTTAATTGCTTCTATCAATACCACTGAAGAGCGAGGGAAATATCTTTATATTTCMAAGCAGCCGTTCATGTTCTTTTATTTRCTATCGATTTATTATACCGAAGAGGATCAGGTCCGATTGCAAGGGTTTGTAGCGGCGTTACAATTTCATTAAATGAAGGTGTTTTGTTCATGTATTGAAGGCGTTATTTTTATTGAAGGTATATAGTTATGGTTTTAATTTCTTCATCATCTACGGCGGAAAGTCCAAAAAGTCATAGCGCTGTAATTCTCTTGCTTAAAAGCAAAACAAAAAAAACCGTCGTATCTATTAGTAGATCGAATGAAAAAAATCATACGAGACTGAGAACTGATCGTTTGCTCATTGATTACTGTATTTGCAAGAAAATAACAGGACTTCGAGAATTATCGTGTCATTGTCCAGGAAATAAGTCTCGTGAGAACAGGGTTTTTTGTAAATGTAGGAACTGTTCTCAAGTATCCGAGTATCCTTGACAATATTTTCCGAAAAAATCCTCAATATTCAAACCTCATAAAAAAAGACATTCAAAGACATAAGTCTCTGATGATAAATAATGAACAATACCAACATAACAACCTCRTGAAAAAATAAAATACGGTGATACAAGTAAAAGCGTTGTTAGGCCATTAACTCCTTATCATTTCTACTCAGTACTTTCTTAACAAACTGCATGAGATGATTTCTAGGCATTACCTTGAAAAAACCTCCAAACCCACTGTTGTTGTGTGCTGTTGGATATGTGGCCATGTTTTCTTCAATATGGCTTTCTCGTCGATAGTTAACGAATCTTCATTCACAAAGTGGTTGTCCAAATTATCTGCAACCTTGCTTTTCGACTGTCCGCAGCCCATGTTCAATCAATATGGCAAACCAGGAATAAACAAWATTGTTTCAAGTTGAAGAATTGGTGTGTTTACTATGATGGTTTGCTATACAAATATACTACTATGGTTGCAGAAATTAAATCATAACAATGTGTAAAAGCCGTCAACAATAAAGAACATTTTCGACCGAATAAAAACATTAATATTTTAGTTCATAAGTTGATTTGGAAGTCCTATTGTGTTCCTCTGTATTTCGATTGGTCGATACTTTRAGATCATGAGCTATTATAATAATATATGGATAGCTTACGCCAAGTAAATTCTTCCGTCTGTTGAGTCTGTGAATATTGCTTTTTATATCATTAGCTCTATTTTTAAAACCCAGTTCCAATATTGATATTTGTTGGTATAATTTACAGAATATACAAAATTGGATTTCAGTTGAAGTAGATGTTTACTCAAGATTTGCAATCATTGTGATAAYTCTAATGAACAACACCAAAAAAACAGTTATCAAGTGCTATGGCAACAGTATACGTACAGTTGTAGATTGGCCAGCATGTACGAAAATTGAATAGCAATTATTGAAATGAAAAAACATCCGCTAGTTTGGATAATTGGCAAAGAGGTACTTGCTTAGTAAAGTCGGTAATTTCAAAACTCAYAAGTAAAAAAATCAATATTAAGACGTCCGACTATAAAAAAATATTCTTTTTCCGTGGATTTCCAATAAATAAATTTGCTGCAGGCTATTATACACTATAAATACTTGTGAAATTACAATCCTTTCAGTCGTTTTATGGATTATTATTTTGTACATTAAATGACGGTCACAAGTTATATACWGCTTCATCCCATTGAGATTAGAATTACATCCATTCGCTCTGTGTTAATTCCTTTATGTCTTCCCTGTATCTATTTACATTTTTTTCTCATTTTTCACGTGTTTCATTGTATTCGTATTTTTGTGCTTTGCTTTGAACGCACCACAGGAACCCCACAAAAAATTGGGAAAATTAAGCTACCGCATCACTCGATATATGTTAGCTATCATAGCCTATAAATAGCGCTGGTTGTCTCGTAGCTGCGATTTRAATCTAACTATCCATGATATCTCGTGAGGTTTTATAAGGAAAATGCCGCAATAACTTGAGATTCTATCAAACAGCTGAATTGATGGATTGAGAAGTAACGCAATACAACGAGTTTTTGCAGCTGCAAGAAGAGGTCTGTGAAGACTCCCAACACGAAGACTGCATTGTATTGTWCGAGTTGTAGACTTATAAAAAATAAAAAATAGKRAAGTGAAAGAGAGGCACTTTTAAGCGAGTGATTAAAATCCTGACTTGTCTCCGCTCACGATGATAATGTGAGTTATGGATTTAAGTACTAGGAGAGGYTTCTTGCATTGTAAACTACTTGGTTCTCATCAGACATAGTCTTCTTTCGCAAGATTAATAACGGCTGTGATAAAAGACCACAGTAAACACCATCCATGGACTTGTATCCTGCTTGTCATGATTCTTGGGACTATGATTGGTCGTCACAACATATCCCGGCATGCATTATTTCTGATTCGAATCAATCGTATGCCCGCTTCTTATGCGTGTTATCAGACATTGCTGTAATGGCTTCATTGAATCTACGTGTGTACATTCTCGAATAAACAAGCATGACSCCGTTTCTTTAATGGAAAAATAAGCTGTTTCGTCATTAAATGTTCATAATTGCAAACGCATGACCAAAATTATACCTTACGGCTATGTTCAGAAATCATAAAATTGCTCAATAATATTCAACATACCATTTGTCTTTGATAATTCGTATGCATTTCTATTATTTTTTAGAAAACTACATATGAATAACTGTAAGTATTCACTCGACTAAGAACGTATGTATCTTGGCATGTTATGGCTTATAGTTTGCTGTCATTTGACAAGAGGAGCAAAGTGTTTCTTCACTTGAATACTAGCAATAATGCTCAACCCTCCCAAAAACATTGATAATTTAAGAGGTGGAATCCCTTGGACCCARTGAAATTTAAATGAACTACTCCAAGATAAGATYTTATTTTCCTCTATCCGAAAGGTGTTTTTCTTTTATGACAATGATGATCGGAAACAGACGAAGTCATATTTCACTTATGTTTTCGGTATTGGCTTTTAAGAACAGAGGTCTTAGTGAGTCACAACTGTACAATGAAAACATTAATGTRATCATTAATCATGAGTATAGCAGTTCTTAGTGGTGGCGACCTTCAACATTGTGTAAATATCGTGATCAAATGTGCAMACTCAGGACTCCGCACTCAATATACCCTTGACAATGAAACACAACTATCTCAGTTTTCACTGATTGAATGATACAAATGAACTTGAAAAAAACTCTAGCATTTGACATCCATATCACAGATTCAAATCACAGACCACGTGACAAACACACAAAGGTTGTTACCAATGAAAGGTCGCGCGTGTCTGATTGCTCATACTTTAATAATGCAGCACAATATATATGGGCTATAGGTCAAAATACGAGACAAAATAACATATTTCGATATTCGCTTATGAACTGCTACATGGCGCGCCTATCAGACATTGTTTTGAATCATATAAATAAACATCCATCTTTGCCGTGGTCAGAAGACTTGGAATGCTATCCACTCAAAATGTCAATCTTATAGACTTGGATTACCGGACCTCAAATAGTCGCCGTGAAACAACAACAGCCTGACAACAATTTCTTTTGACCCAATTCATCTTGACAAGATTTTCACTTCGTTGATGATATCTGTATCTGTAACCAACTTGGATTAACGTTGGTAAAATAGCAGGTAAATACCACTCAATAACTGACCAATAAAAACTCGACATGAAACCCAACCGTCAGCTGTAAGACTCAAGGCAAAGCGTATCAAGTGRGGATTTCCTATCAGATGTCACCATGCTTTACTACCCTTGACCAGTATGGCTCTGTCAGAGAGACTTGTAGTTCTCGTTATTCGAGTCGTTCTCTTTTTCGTGTACTTAGTAGTCGGTGCTGCCGTCTTCCAAGCTCTGGAGCAAGACAACCAGAAAATAAATTATGAACGCAAACAAAGAATTCGACAAAGGATTCAAGCCAAGTATAACATGACAGCCAGCGATATTCAGGAGTGGACCGATACATATAAGGCGAATATGCAGTTCCAAGGTGGTGAAGAGTTGGAATGGGATTTTGGGAATTCCTTCCTCTTTGCAGCTGTAACGGTGACTACAATAGGTAGGACATCGATTGTCGATAAGTAAAACTTTACATAAATATGGAGATAACTGCAATAAGTCAATATATCTGGGCTTAAAAACACACATATAAATAATTTTAAAAATTTACAAGCAACGTTCACTTTTCATCGTTGTGGAGTAGATAACTTGTTTGCATTTGAGAAAGAATGGATCTGTACAATATTGTCAAATCAGTTAAGAAGCTGAGTTCGAGGTCAAATGAAATTTTCTGCTATAATAGAACTCAATTGACACTATACCACAAATTAAAGTCTATTTYAGTGCCTAAACGAGATACAGGGCCGTATTATCCCACGTAATTTTAATATACGAGTTTTCAATTCAAGAGTTTTTTTAGTGAAAAACAGACAGGACTCCAGAACAGATTTATAAAACMAAATGTATCACGCCGAATACTATGAATTATTGAACACTACCAGATTCTAGATTGACTTTCCACATATCATGACTAATGCCTGTGATATCAAAAATATTGTTTTTACCAGTACAGTGTTTTAAGTCTTTTAAAATAATTCATATTAAAAATATATGCGCTTCGTTATACATACGTAATTGAAATTTTATAATTGGTGTTCGACTTGAAAGATAAAAGATAATTTATCTGCGCCTTAAGTGTGAACGAATAAGTTCTATAGGATTAATCAAACATGTCCTTTCTCATTATCAATAATTGAAAATGAAAGAAATCAAAAAAATATTAACATGAATGACACCATAGAAGCTAAGAATTTTATACGCACATTTCTATCTCTAAGCAATACTGATTATCTCCAAGTCATGGTAATGAATTGCTGTAATACATCATCGCTGTATTACCTGCTGGCAGAGACCACAATACCAGTAGACCAAAAAAAAAAAAAATGAAATACAATACCAACGTCAGAGCCAAGCTCAACATAGTCATAGTGACGGCTCTTTTTAAGTTAATACGGACTTACAGTCCAAGCCTTTTTAATCTTCTTTTTGTTATTTGTACTGGTTTGTGATATTTTTAATTCGCTGATTGACTTTAAAATCGCTAGTAATTCACGAATATTGTAAAAACAAAACCAAGAGCGTCGCAACTGTCAGCCACAACATATGGATCCGAGTCTGTGTTACCGCGAAAAAGATCGAATAAGCCTATTAACACACATCGCCGTGAATTTGAATAACGAATTAGATTTAGTCACGCTTGCTCTATAGATAATTTTGTCTATTTTTACAGTTTAGAAAGCACTAAAACTGAGGGTTGCCCATGAAACACCCACTGCCCTAGAACAATGGAAAATTAGACGTCACACTATCAAGATACCTTMTGAGTCTAAAATATGCAGGAGGCCTATTAAACAAATTAGCTTTTAGACGTATTATACGGCTAGATAATTGATAACCACAGMATTTTAACCAAATGGTGATTATACATTGTGGCTTGAAAAATTAACAACTTGACTGGCATAGTATGAATGTAGAATTCCCTGTCGGGAAATGACCTCTTCCCACAGTTTAATGACCGGTTTGTACTTACAATATACACACTGGAATCGGAGACTTGCAATCGTTTGTTTTGTTTGTAAAGTGCTTTAATTTGTGAGAAGTTCAATCTCAAAGAGGGCAAAGTTTCGTTTGGGAGGAGAAATCGTGTTTCTTGAAATCACGTGCACCTTTAAGAAACAAAAGTGAACGCCGTCTTAGAAATATTTACTGTCAATACATGTCAATAGCAATGTACATCATCATTTAGCATAACTTTTTTTTATTAGTTTCAAGAATGATTGACGTCTTCACACCATAACTAATAGAACGGTGGATATATATGTTTTGTACGTGCTATTGGGTTTAACAAGCTCTCTTTGTTCCATTACCATCTGCGCGCCCTACACTATGAGGCTTACGAAATGTCAACTAATTGTACCGAGACTGATATCAGCACTGATGTGAAATTAAGATCAGAAATTTGGCATGTAGAAATGTAATGCACATATCGATGATACCCTGATGGTGAAATAATATAGCTAGTACAATTTAGAAGTGTTTGCCTACAAATGATAAATACTTCACGAATGCTTTTAACTATAAATATTTTATAATAAATACTCTTGAAAAAAGGAAATAGAGAATGGAAAATCAAACCAGTAATTAAAAACAATTGCAAGTTAACCTTGTCTCTCCTTGCTTGCATGATGCAAAACAGATATTACATACAGTTCGATCTATTCAAAACTTGATATATGGATCTTGGTGTATAAGGGTCTAATCGAGGGCTCAAAAAGGCAAAAAAAAAATAATGGAGTATTTTCATCGGTTCACAACAATCGTTGCGCATTGAATGGGCCGATATATAAAAGATATTAACCATCAAAACCACATCTTACATTTGCGGTAAAATGTATTTTTAATAACTACGTAAGTCTAGACTGAATAAAGATAATTAAAATTCTGAAGTAATTATGAACTAGCCTGAGTATCAGTCTCTCTCGAAAGGGATTGGAGCGGAAAGAAACGGTCGCTCCGCCCCAATCCCCTTCGAGCGAGCCTGATACTCAGGCTGATTTAGAAAGGAAAATTGTTACACATGACAAGTTTGAAATACGTTGTAACATTGTGATTGATTTCTGACAGGTTATGGGAATGTTGTACCCAAGACGTTGGGTGGGCCTGTTCTGTATCCTGTATGCGTTCATTGGTATTCCTGGCACTTGTCTGACGCTGAAGGTTATTGGTGATACCATTTACGATATTACAGCAGGTTTTATTTCAGTAATAGAGCAGCGTGTGTTGAAGAGAGGAAATATCAAGGATATTGAGCTAAAGACAGTAGTGTTCAACATGGTATTATCTGTGTTTATAGTGCTGCCATTACTGGCAGCCATAGTTTATGTACGTGAAGTCGAGCACTGGACGTACTTTGAATGTTTCTATTTCACATTTACAACACTCACTACTATAGGATATGGAGACTATGTCCCGTACTTCGGCACATCGCTAGATTTTTTGCTTCTTCTTGTGGCTTTGTTTGGACTTGCATTTGTATCAAGCATTTTGTGTTCGTTGAATAACTTGTTTGAGGCTTATGGACTGAGCAAGAGGGTTGTAAAATCAATGAAGAAGATACAAGAAAATGATGAATCACCYCAGTCTGGTACTGATGAATTATTGGATGAGKTACGYGACACGATGCCAGACCTGCCTAGGAATAGCATAACACCTCGACCTTCAATTGCCAGGGAAAAAAGAGGCTCTATMTCTGTTGGGATGATCCAGGCCTAGTMATGATGAAGACACCTCGAAGAAAACTGCACAACATTCGAAAGCAAACGGCAGAGAAGACAACACATTCTATATCTAAAATGGTGGGAACTAGCGGTAAACTAGTGTGAGCTGCGTCGGTGTTTCTAAAGAAACGGTTGTGTAAAGAAGATAAGTTTAACACCGTAAAAAAGTATGGGAAATAACTTACTGACGTTTCGGATGTTAATCCTTCGTCGGAGTTACTCCGACGGAGTTACTCCGACGAAGGATTAACATCCGAAACATCAGTAAGTTATTTCCCATACTTTTTTACGGTGTTAAACTTACATTCTATATCTACTTTTGGCTAAGTAAATTCTTCACAAGAAAATCACAGAACGATAGCAAATGCTCGAAAGAGGCCGCGGTTGGCTGACATTGATCAAGGTGGTGAAGAAGCAAAGCGCTCAGTTTGTTGTTTCGGTTGAGTAAATAATATAATAACCATGATGCAAAGCAGCACGGAGAAAACACCGTAAAACAGTCGATAGGATATACGACCTGGTGAATTWGCCATTCGACAAAGYAGTCTCGTTGGATTCTTAAACAATGCCTTCCAATCAAACAACTTTGCTACAAACAAGACTGACAYCATTACAAATACCATTACCAGGAAGAGCCAGCGAGTGTTTTTGCTGGAATCATCGTGTTTATAGCACAATAAAAAACAACTTCGTTTGAAGAATACAGTAAAGACGCTTAAAAGCGCTATTACGATAAAAACAAAAGWAAGAGTCCCAGTTCCTCGGCAAAGTCCATCGCCGTAACGCCATCTTGATTCTAAGATGGCGGCAGTCATGAGAGGCATTGTCAGCAGTGCAGTAAATGCATTCAAAACTGTCACGTGAAGTAGTACAGCGTTTGTAAAACTCGACAGTCCATCCTTTCTGCTGCCTAGAACACAAACAAGACTGTTGCCAATCACAACTGTGGCGCACATCCCCATAATGGCAGCAGCCTCAAGAGATAGCATAGTTGKTGATACAGATGTGGCCTCCATGTATGGATCATAATTAGCATCGATGTCATCAGGACCTCTATCGTCCATTCCTGGGAATAACCAACAACATTTTATAATATACCGTCCAGTTCTATTGTCTTGAATAGACTTTTCGACTATGACTTTAAAAGACTTTTAAAGTTTTGAAAAATACTAAGGATAAGTCAGATACTAGAGCTCGAGTGATCTTCCATCTACGATGCATTTACTAATACAAATATTTATATTTTTGCATCATCTTTAAATTTTCCGCTAAAACACTCCGAGCACACATCGCGATGTGATTTTAACTTTTATTCTCGACTTTTCTTTAATTTTGTAAAAAACAAACGTTTCCTATCTTTAAGAATCAGCTGGTGAAAATCTTGTCATTGAACCTTAAAGTCCAGACAACCTTCATGGAAAAGGCTGTATAGAGACGAAAMGAAGGAATCGTAACAGCTGCAGTTTCTATACGTATTCACACAAGAAATGAACTTAACCTATGCTAATATTTGCATTAAKGCTATTAAACACTTCAGTCTTAAGACAATCTCGCGACAAATATCAATATTAGAAATGGTAGTTTATAAGAAAGGATGGAAGTACTTGACATTGCTAAGAATATTCTCAAACCAATTCCAGGTTTAAATTGAAGCCTTATAATATGTAATAACTGTTGGATAAAGATTTCAAGATAAATTTACCTGTATAGTTCTTTATTTAGTCCATGTTGTTGAAAGAGACAGCCACCTGTCCCATTAAAAACCCGACCAATTTCAACATATTTTAACACTACAGGTGATGAAACGACCCGATATGTTATGGTCACATAGAAGCACTTAAACCTTTTATACTACATTCACATTCAAGTAGTTAGAAAAAAAGATTCCGTAAAACACGGCATAGACGGACACCTTTACACCGGGAGCCTATCGGCTGATAAATCGACCGGTAACCACGCTATCAAGCAAGACGACCACGCCTGTTACCAAAGGCCATTGGAAGTAATCTTCATCAAAAACCGAAACATTTATTCGCCAATTGGTTTTCTTTTTTATCGTTAGCATTGTTTTTTTTTTCGATTGTTTGTATAATTCTGGGGGGGAGGGGCACAGGGGAAAATCATGTTCTGTTTCTTAACCTCCTAAACTCACATGCGCACATTATGCAGAGCAAAAGGACTGGGAAATGCATGCGCGTAGCATAAACGCACGACAAAATCGTTACTTCAAATATACAAAATACATCCTCTTTATTTATATTTCTATTTTACAATTATTTTCTCTCTAAAATATGTATAACCATCATCGTTTGCTTAAATCTCTGACTAGTAAAAGACTCTTGTCTAAACAGTATAGTCAGCATCTAAACTATGCTCTTTATAAAATTTGTTTAATATCTGAATTAAATTTCTCAGTGAATCAACTGTTGTTTTCATGTGAGCAAGMACGTCTTGCGGTGAGGCGCATGTTTGTTCGACGGTACCAAGGGCCATAAGAAAGTCTTCTCGGTATGGTACAGCTTTGACAGCTAGCTAAAATAGGACGACACTTTGAGAGGCCTTGTATCATTATATACTATATTTCTTGTACACTATTCCACCGATGGGAACCGATTTGATTCGAAGCATATAAACATCTATGATGGGATTTCACTCGGAAAACTSCATTCAGATCAAGAACTTTTAAAATTTAATTAGAGCGCCCATGTTAGTGTTAAGCCAATTTGCTGCTAGTTGTTATTGGGGGAAATGGATCAGGTTTTAGACAAGCCATGCAGATGGAACCAACAACAACTAAAAAGGTCATTTTTTCTGACCACCGAATACAAGAATAAAACTTACTGCAAAAACACCTCGGACAACCCAGCCATGGTATTTTCGTAAAGACTTTTCATATGCGACACCTACAAAACAAGAAAAGATGATAATTAATAACGGAAGCCTTGAACAATGAAATGTACCCTAAAATGTTTGCTCATTCATCACCTACCAGCAGCAATCGCTAAATCTTTGCTACCTTTAACAACTTCATCCAGAAAAATCATCATAAATTCGAGAGCTCTGTACAAAGACATCATGTAGTATGTTAATAATATACTATTCAAAGTGGTCAACAACATCTGTTAATCACTCTCGTCTATTTGTACTTCAATGTAAATTGAAATAAAACGTTTACCTTTTTAACCACAGCAATGCATCTGTGGCCGAGTTTTTTGCCGTACAACTATTACTTTTTATTTCTTGGTAAATCATATTTTGTAGAGTGTAAAATGCCTTTGGTTCGGTATCATATTTAGTCGTTAGTTTCTGATAAAAAAGAAGGAAAATTTTGTGACTTTTCATGATCGACACTTTTCGGACTGTAAGTACAACATTTACCAAGATGTACCGAAAAACTTGTAAAAAATGTAAAAAAAAATTGTAAAAAAAATGTACCAGTTAGTCAATCAAAATAATGGGCTTGCTCAAAGACCGATTATCATTAATCCAATAGATTTTTTAACTCTAAACTCGGACCATGACGTCATAAGTTTCAAAGAATCTATYGAGGAAAATGTACTTTAATCGCCATGGTCAATTCCAATCACCTTTCACCTAAATTAGTCTTTTTTACTTTGGGAAACTGCGACTTGCACTGAACGTTTTCGTCAAATATTTCTATGACATGTATACTGGAAAAATGTACACTAATGGTAGATTGTAAGTACTTATCTAAGGTTTAAGTTCCAGCTTACCTTTATATTCCCACCAATATCTATTTTAACAGGAGCAAATGCTGTAGAGCCTAATACATCTGAATAGAAATACCATGTTTTATTTAATGTAAACAAGTTCAGACTGCACATTTATATTTCCTAATATAAAGTCGGCCCAGTGGTGAATAATTTATGCTAGCCTATATTCCTAAATGCAGCTCAACCAGGGGGGATACCAAAGAGAGCAAAGAGTCTTCTTCTGTTCCCCCACTGTTGCTTCTATGAATGTCATGGCATATACAAGTAGTCTAATGTCTGGARTTATACAATGGCGTCCATAGAAAATGCCTGTATTGACATGACATAAAGTTATACAGATGTGTAAGGCAGCTGAAGCATTTTAAGGTTTTTTAGGGAGATGTCCAGTAGAAATTATCTGACAGGGTGATAAACTTGTTTTATTAGAGTTAATTACATGCCACATAATTAACTTATGCAAGTTTTCTTACCAAAAAAGGGTAAAATACTTGARCATGAAGATAAAAATGACTTTGTAGGAATCCCACCATTTTCTGTGACACAAACATCTTCAAACCTATTTTTCAAATTGAGAACCATTAATAACAACTAATAACATTGAATGAGATTGGAATTACTTACTTATGAGTTGCCATAGAAAAGAATGTCTTAGGACCTTTATACTGGGAAGGMGGTTCTGCTGTCACTTGTCTTTGGAATGAACTATTAGATCCTATRGATTCAGAATTGCTGTTTGATAGTGTTCTTGATAAGTTATTTGGTTGAACTGCTGTTGTAGTGCTGGCTTCTGCTGAGAGAGGTTCTCTTTTGCTGGCATCTGAAGTGCTACTTGTAGATGAACTAGCTGTTCCTGTTACAAATAATCATTGCTGAAAACACTATCATTCATAATAAACTATTATCAATGTCCTACTTTTCTTGATTTGAATTTTTCATGCAATTATGTTACCACTTATTGTTGAACCAGATGAACTTGAAAAACTTGACATTGGAGAAGTAGGAGGTGAATTAGGTCTATTAATGAAGGAAAAACATTGTTATTCAATACTCTAGTTGTTTGCTTTGCTATGCCACYGTGAGCTGAGTAGTTTCATCTGAAAGGGTTGCATGCAATGCAAACAATGGTACCTCATGATCAATTTTCAATGAATTATCATTWGTACTACAAAGTTGTACCTGTGTGATTCCTGCAATAATTGTTTTCTAAATGCAGCATGTTTTGAAGACACTGAACTCTGTTAAATAAAAACAAATCAATCCTATTGAGGCTGGATAGTTACCAAGTAAATCATGTATCATCTGACAATCTCATGGGTACTTACATGTTCTGATGTTGCACCTAAAGAGAAGGCATGAAGAACTATTGTTAATCTTAAGATGTCAAGTAGAATGTATAGCTAAAAAAGCATAGAATGAATTACCAAGGTTTGAGTCTGCTAAATCCATACAATCACAYAAACTTTTAAGAAACTCATCACATGTAGCTGAAATCATTGTTGCAGTTTCATTAAATTCCTATTGTAAGAYAAAACAATAAATTAATCACTCCTGCTGGCAATAGATGTAATTTTTATTTATAGTACACCTATTTCTTTTAAATTTCGTACCTGACTCTTTTGTTTTTCAGCACACATCAATTTGATTGTGTTTACTTGTTGCAGTAATAAACTTCTATACATACTCAGCTCCTGCATTCTTTCTTTTAGYTGAGACATTTTGGCTAAAAAGGTAAGTACGATAGAAATGTTAGCAAAAACAAAACTCATCAAATTATTATAACCTCTAGTCTTTCATAGGGATAATTATACAACAAAACAACGAAACTGGTGTTAAGGGATGCCATCTTCAAAGGACAGAGAGATGGGGAGTAGAGGAAGCCTTTTGCTCTGAGTWTTYATGGTGATWMGTTTAATCATTCAAGCTCCAAGGAAAAGATRTGTTGTTTACTTACATGACCCTGAGTCAATTTCTTGTTTAYTTGTCTGTAGCTGTGCTATACAGGCCTTAGATGTCCCAAGAGCAACTAACCACTGCTGTCTCTCAGCAGATGTTGCAGCTCTTAGGTATATATATTGATCAGGAGGGATTTTAAGATCAATTCTGACATTGTCAGTTGGGTGCACTGAAAAAAAAACGTTTGATGTAAATTTAGGGGACTAAATTACAAACTACATAAATTAGCTGGTTTATTTCATATCTTGTAGCCTTGAATAACTACAAGGCACTTCCATACCTGTTATTTCACAGCAGCCCATTTTGATTGAACCCCTACTRCCACGACCTACTTCCTCTTGTGACTTATAATATGCAAGGACACCAACTTCCAGGACAAAATACCTTGGCTGCCATCCTAAGCAAGATTGGATCTTAATGGTCAATATRTGCAATCAAACTATACTGGATAATARCATTTGTATCTCCTTTGCAGTCAGCTCTACAACTTTTTGCCTTTTCACAGGTTTGGGATACCTGTTTTCGGATACAGCCATAGGGGKACTTGTTACCTCAGGTGAAAAAAAGAAATAGGAAGAACCCCTCTRTTTTCCTGGTAGGWCCCAAGGCCCCTGATCAGCCACATTGATGACAGAGGGATATATAAAGAAATGAAGGGTTACTTGTGAAGGGCGCTAACTTAGCTTTTTTTTTGTTACTATATCATAGTAACCTAAGTTCCTATTGGAAAACAAGATGGCAGTTTTCAAAACAAAATAGGAACAATAAAATATCTTGATTATGCGCGAAAACGTGCAACTATAAATGAAATGTTAAGACTTTTCTTTATCATAAATCATTTGTCTTATAGCTGGATGAGCGCTATTGTTGTTAATAATCACAAGCGATTATGATAGAAATCGTAACATGGACCTTTTTTTAGCCATAAACACAAACTAAACCTATCCCTGGGGGGTCGTGAATTTTACTTATTTCTAGTTAAAGTTCCCTCACAGAGAGTAAAGACTAGACGATGATTCAAATGCAAACAAAACATCTACCAATATTTAGCAAACTAACCGCTTAAATAGTTTGTCCATTTCCACAATGTTCCTTCCATCAACGCCATGTTTAGWAGGTTGATTATTTCTTTAAGAGAGGACAAACTTGATCATGAGAACGCCGTTTGGCAGGAATGCCAATTAATACAAGTCAGTCGAACAAATGCCATTTATCCGTAATTTCCGCCATTTTGGTTCAAGAATCCATACCACAGGAAACCCAAACAGCATCACACGGTACAAACACATGATCAAACCTCCAAAAACACTTTTCACATTATTCTAATTCCCTCAACATTAAAAAACCCGAATTTTTGGACAATAAGGGCATTYATATGGTCATTAAGAATTTGAAAAGGGCAAAAATCATTCATATTAATGTTAGGTTCAGGTTGGACATTCACCACAGGTAACCCAAATGAATAGCACRCAGAAAACATMATTTTTAATACTCAAAAATATTACTATTTYACATGATGGTAGATTTGTTCCTTTAGASGTGGACTATTCATTGATGGTTATGGCTGACACTATTATTGCCCTAATTACAAGAGGTAATAAGCTAACTATAATAACTGTGTTTGATGTACAAGAATTCTTCAAAGTTCATCATGAGGTTTTTGCTTTTCCCACCACTCCAACAATTGATTGACTTTATCCCARTCAACGACTTTCCACCAGTTTTCTAAATAACCTGGAAAATATATATTCATTAATAATTATTTGATAGTAGCTATTTTTATAGCTATTTTCATATGAATGTCTTTAAACTTAAATTGTAAGTTAATGGGATATGTACATGGCAAATTTGCTATACCCAAATCACAGGGAAGAGAGAGAGTATTTTAAAACTTAGAGAGTAAAGTGATTTACTCCAAGGACAAAATGTGTTCACACCAAAATATCTCTATGTAAATAAGACAAAATAAGGCAAACCTGYTCGTTTATTTTGATGCTTGAGATAATATGCATGTTCCCAGATATCAATAACAAGAACTGGGTTGAGCTTGTATGTCACGGGTGATTCTTGATTTATCATATTCAGCATACTTAGAAACCCTGTTAAAAATYATAATCAGTTAATTTTATATTAGCAATGTAAAATATATTAATACTATCCAGTCATACCGGATGTAACATCTTGACATAGCCATGTATATCCAGAACCAAACAGTGAAATTGCTTCATTGTCAAACCACCTCTTGAATGAGCTAAAGTTTCCATATGTTGYATCAATTAATTGAGCTATTTTTCCTGTTGGAAGTCTCGGTTCTTTTGCTTTGTTAGGTGACATTACAGCCCAATAAAATGCATGATTAACAAACCTAGAAATCACATCGCTACAATTGATGAAACATTGCTAACAATAACTATGTTATGTATAAATGATAATGATGATGATGATGATGAAGTTAACTATATCATTTCTGCATTTCTACAAGAAATGATAGAGATYCTATTTATTAGACAGCATTTGCAGCAAACAACATACCCGCCACCATTATTTCTTATTGCTTCTTTCCAGTTTTCAGGAACTTCGTGAATATTCTTAAGTATTTCTAGAATTGATTTGGATGCAAGGTCTGGTCTTTGGCCCTGTGGAAAARGCCATGGAAATTWAAAWAAAWACTATTCATGCAGTCAATCTGTGACATCTTCAGGTACATTTACCGATTCTCTCCAATCTGCTAGGGCAGCGTTCATCTTTTTGGTATAGCCAGCGTGGTGGCCAAGATGGTGTACTCGAAGTGTTGCTTCGTCAATGTATGGCTCAAGYCCATCGTACGAGTAAGGAAGGGATGGCAGAGTGTACTCTTTTTTAAACTGTGTAAATTCTTCATAAGGATCACCGCACTTGACGTAAACTGTGATCGCACAAAACAACAAAGCTTTCCATATCCATGCAGCCATTTTGGATTGTTTACAGTACAAGCCTCGTTCATATGTTCGCCCGCGATACTTTGAASAGCGGTCATCCCATTGCGCGTTAGCTSCAGAACAGGCCTGCTCACGAATTGCGCAGARCAATGAAAAAWTATACACTCTTTAATCGATAGGTATTGTACAGAATAGCAAATTTGACTGCAATATACTTCTCAGATTTACACTAAAATTTAGGCGCGACGACGTGTATTAGTACCGCGATGTTACCTATTGGAAATGACCATTGAATAAATGCACGAGAGAATCATTCTCTCGTTATAAAAATGAGAGCGTACGTATAGATCTTTTTGGAGCCCTATTCTGCAGCTAGGACCGCAAGGGACGTTTCTTTTTTGGACTCTCCGATGATCACAAACTTTCATATAAAATTAGGGGTATCGAATGGTAAAATGCGAGCCTCACCGAGCCTGCGAGACCCTCGTTTTAAAATCCGAGCCCGAGCCTTTGGCTGAACAAGTCCGATATTCCGTCAATTGCGAGCTTCCGAGCCAAAGTCAATTTAAATCCGAGCCCCTTTCTTTTAGGCGCCGAGGTTGCGAGCCTTGGGCAATTTTTGGCGAGCCTTGCGATTCTGAGACAGCATTCTATACCCTTATTAGCCAAAACCTTTCATGGCAGTCCTCCATCGTGCCGTTAATCTGCTACATTTCATTTGTCATAATTCAGTTATCATTTTGAGCCGTTTAAGTTCATTGGTTAATTTTGATTTGATTATCTCTAGCTGAGATTTCGCGCTTCTTCTCTTGGAAACGCGTGCTCCTCACCAGGAATGTCCTTCAGTTCCAACTCAGCATTTATGAATATAAATAAGCTGGACCACGTATGGCAATACAACGTGTAAAGTTCTTTCTTTCTTGAACAGAAATAGAGCAAGCCACATCCTCAAGCAGTCACTTGACGGAGAAATCCTTGAGGGAGACATTGCCACTCGGAACTAGCTAAGGGCGTGAATAACAATCAAACGATGAAGTTTATAGTCTTTTTGGGATTACTTTTTGTCTGTTTCACATGTCAGTCTTTTGCGCAGGAAGAAGACGAAGAGGAATTTAGAGGACTAAGGATCGGCATAGTGAAAAAGCCTAAAAGATGTCCTCAAGAAACGAAACACGGCGATCATTTAACTGTGAAATACAACGCTTCTCTTGTAGATGGAACACTACTTGTCCCACCACGGTAAGACTTATTGTAACCTTGTACTATAGTATTTGGCGTAAACTGTAACCTCTAAGCAAAGTACCGGTTAAGYTTTCTCTACATCTTGGAGCGTTTTCGTTCGTGAGGATTTTTATATACTCTACTTCAAAAGTAATGTGTGCACATTTTTCGTCTAGTTTTGCAAGCTTTTAGCTGAAAGTCTCTCTAGCTCGGCCAATGCTTCCGGAAAGGATTGAAAAAAACCCTTCATATTCCTTCAGAAAAAGTTATCATGCTCCCAAACAGTTGCGTATTATTTAAGATTTTCKCCCTAAACAGTACAATTAACTTACACATCAAAATGATATATATTTTTGGTACGTTGACACTTTTTTGACTTTCATTTGGTTGCTTAAACCCTTCAGTGTAGCTACAAAAACAACCCGCTTTCTTGGAATTTTACAAAAAGTACTTTTTTATTATGAGGGTAATTTCAACTCTTTATGCATATTAATCTTAAGACACCACGAAAAGTTTTCCTAAGACAACATTTAATATGTGCAGCCATATCTAAAAGTCAATTGTTGATGAGATGGCGCCTCATGAATATTCATTTCGATGARGACACGTGTGAGGTGAATGGCAACAGGCTTAACAATGACCGCCAATTGCACAAAAAGAATATAACTAACGTTACTAGCTACTTAATGTACATATAAAATGAAATTACAAATTTGTAAAATTCATGTTTGTGAATAAGTTCTATTCTCAAAAATGTTGAAACGTCCATTCGCAGAAACCTGGAGTTCACCATTGGAGAAGGATCCATGATCCAAGGCTGGGACCAAGGTCTTCTTGACATGTGTATTGGAGAGTTGAGAGAACTAATCACCCCATCGGGTTACGCTTACGGTGAACTTCCAGTTGGGGATGCTATCCCTCCCAAAGCACATCTTGTATTCTATGTTGAATTGTTGGAAATAAAAGATGGCCAGCCGAAACCTGACATCTTTGGACAAGTTGATGTTAATGGTGACGGGCTTATATCACACGATGAGGTAAATGACACGTCGGATAAGGATAAATACTGATACTATCCAATAATGATAAATATCAAACGATGGGAAGCTTCGCAATAGCGGACCTCATTAGAATAATACTTAGTGTAAAAAGTAGTAACATGCTCATCTTACGTTGTTCAGGTTGCACAGTAYCTGCGCAAGGAATCAATACCCGACGGCGACGGCGACAAAAGCCACCAGACTGTCATCAATGAAATCTTTAACGAAGAAGATAAAGACAACGATGGATATATCTCGCTATCTGAATTCCAGGGATTCAAACATGAAGAACTCTAATTATGTTTTATTTTACAAGTATTTGTAGCCAAGATTTCTCCCCTGTTGCACGATTTTTCCTCGTACCTTCTGGAAGTCAAAAATGGAAAAAACACTGAAACACCTAGTACTAGCACATACACTTTTGTAAAAAAAACTCTTTGTGAAAATTTGACTAGCTCACCATATATTAGTTAACTTTGACTTAATAGTTTTTTTCATTTCTCAACTATGACTAACATGAAAGTGAGTGACTCAACTCAACATTTCCTCCAAAAATCTTATTACTATTAGACGTGTTTTGCCTCAAATAATTAATCAATAAAATTAGCTTGCTTATCAAATATAATAAACTTGACAACAATGAGACGCATTGCAAACACACCAAATTACGTTTATATACTATTACAGGAAGGTAATATTACAAAAACACACTTTTGATGATCATCCTAACAACGTGTTGATAAACTCGACAAATCGGCCATCAGCCTGATCAGTAGGAAACTTCTTCATCAATGACGACTATACAAAAGAAAAGAAAACAAAATGATTATTTCTTCACACTCCAAGCCAAAAACTTTACGCATAACTCTTTCATCAAACCAGAACTCACACAGAATTCAAAACACAGCTATGGAAGATGGCATATTGTTTGTGGTGTGGTTATAAATTGCCAACTGTATACCTTAACTTTGTCCATGTACGTTTGCTGTCCATACCAAATATTGCTGAACTCAATAGCATCAGGACTACCTTTGTAGAAGCTCCACAGCCATCTCTGCACAATCAAATAATCCACACACTGTAAMTTTTACATTAAGTAATCTAGTTTATTTTCACTGAAACAAATGGTGAAAATAATGCAGTATTATGGTAGATATTAGTTACCAGTTCATTGAGAAGATCTTGKGTWAGAAACTGATCCTGTTGAATTGTGAAATTGAGATGCATAGGAATCCCAAGACAGTCTTGATCAGATGAGTGAGAAACCCAGAATGTACGGAATGTAGATTCCTTTGTTGGTTTGTACGTATCATATGGTGCTGGAAAAACAACAGAGATTGATGTGAATAACATACCACAATGYACCAACTGTKCATAAGAAAACAAATTAATTCTCTATGCAACCTCTCAAAAATGTATAATTGCAACCACTTACAGACAATCATGCCTATAACAGGTTCATAGTTTCCCCCAAGGGCTTGTTGAGCCATYCTTTGRTACTTGACTTGACTATTAATGTCCTGTACTGATGGGTCTGCCTGGTAAGTTGGGTGACTATGGTACCAACCAACTATATGAAGCCCTCTTTTACTCACTGCTTGACGAATCTATGTACAATATGCATTCCATGACAATTAGCACTACTGCACTTACTCTTTTACAAAAAATGTACAGCTACATGTACACAGCTACATGTAGAGCAGTCCATGGAAACTTAATCCAAGATGATCTTTTGTCGTACATGACTGTTGACTTCAAGTTTGAAGTCAATGCCTGACCTACCTCTTCCTCTACCTTGGGTGCATTTTCTTTGTCAGCAAAACGACACCGGCAAGGGAATGCTTGTAAAATCTTGATGTCTATAATTTATGCATGAGTCAGTAAACCTACTGGGATATAACAACATGCATTCACCTTTATACTGCATAAAAAGCAACCAATAATGGCATGTATCATTTTAAAGTRATKTACATTTTGTAGCTTTGTTTKRCTGGTAAGAAGACCAAYAAAAMTRAAAACAAAATCAATATGCTTATAGCTTACGATGTGTCTGTGGATCCCATTTTCCAGCTAAATACCCAGTAACCTCACTGGTGGTAAGATGGCAGTGATAGTCCTACATCAAGTKGGAAAACAAAATCATTATTAACAAACTTTCAAGAGAAAACTTAATGTAAACATTTTAAAATGTGCAAAACGTAATACTTACAATAAGAAGAAGACTGTTAGTTGAAATATCCATAGAGAATGGTTGCATTTTTCCAGTTGATGTAAAACCAACTAATTCCACGAGTGTCTGAGGGTCACTGAATTATCAAATAAATAACCCAGCCATTAGAATGTCAGTGTRGGAGGAGTGAGTATATATTGCTTACCTATCAGGTTTWACAGAAGAATGCTTGACYGACATCCTAGTTCGTACAGATCTTTTTCGGCCAGAAGACAGAGGTGGTGAAGACAGRGGGACAGGCAGATCATGACCTAAATARACATCATTAACACATAAAAAATAATTTCATTCATGTGCAATAACTTACTTAAATTCCTGTRCTTACCTAAAGTAGGACTTTTTATCGAGGGTCCCGGTGAACGGATAAGTGAAGATGGAGATGATGAAGCTGGTCTAGTAAGAAAAGACTGGCTTCCTTGCAATGACAGGGAAGATGCTGTCAAACTTGGGGATGTTATTTTCCTGTCAAAAAAATCAATCTGATTGTGAGGGACTAGTCTCCAACTGACAATTTATACCTTCCATCCATATCAACTATTTTATCTGAATTTAATACCTAATSCCATGAGTAGGAGTTCCTCCTGGTGATCTTAACCTTGGTCTTCCAGGAGGACGTGTTGAGGCTGCCCTTCTTGAGGGACTTGAGGTAAGACGTGGTCGGCCAGGTCCCCTATGAGCAATCACTTTAGGTATTGCAATGTCTTTACTTGGACCAGGTGGACTTTTAAGAGGTGATATAAGAGCACTTGTAGTAACAGTGCTAGATGCCTGACTTGTATCAATTGATGTAGATTGGACAGGTGTTTGTTGGGATGATGCAAAAACAGTTGG